TTTCTTAATATTTTGTTTAAAAGGTATTTCTCTGTGTATCAGGCCAAAAATACTGTAACCGAATGTTTTATAAATATTATGCAACCAAGTTTAGTCCTTAACCCCCCGAGAATACGAGAAAACAGGATAATATTAACAAGCGATAACTGTAAGTTTATATATCGACATATTTGATACTTAATACTTACATATTTGTTTACGGTATTACAGACCACCGATTATAAATCAATTCACTTTAATATATTTATAGTTAGATTTCTGAATATATACTGAACATAACATAACTTCAAATTTATATATATTAGTAATAGTTATAGTACATAAAACGAGTTAGTTACTGCTAAGAAATGGCGAGGCCGTTAGGCCTAGACATTTTATTGCAGAAACATCCGAGATGTCGCCCCGCCAGTGTTATATCCTCGTATCTAGCGAGTTTCATATACTATAACTGTTTTATCGCAATGGCATAATGTTTTCTTTCTTTTGTAATAGAAATAAATAAACTGTTATTGATGATAAGGCAGTTTTTTCAAGTTGTTTTCGCTGCCGCAAAAAAAGATATACTAAGACATCCAATGGTATTAGGCGGATTGTAAACTGTTACCAATATTGATTCAAGATTAAAGGGTTTTTTTCAATTCAGCGGATTTTGATTAAATGAGAGTAAATTTCATTTCATTAATTATCTTTGTTTATATTTTTCATTTTATTTATTTATTTTATTTTACTGATTCCATTTTGTTTTTCATTTTTGCTACTTGGAATGTTCGTTTCCACTGCCCCCATTGGAGCCTCGGTGAAAAAAACTACATTGATATATACAAGGTGCGAAAAAAACTCAACCGCTATATAGCAGTCGAGTTTTTAAAAACTGTACTGTTATATATCAATACAGTTTTCAAATGCTCATTGAAGTGTACTGAGTATAATGGGTAAGTAAGAACAAAGGAAAAGTTCCAAACCATGCGATAATCAATTATATTGTATTTATTGTTACTAAAAGAATTGATAGTGTGTCAGATATAACCTAATATGTTATCTAAAACGCCCTTATAACAAATCCATATCAAAATTGAATTGTTTAACGAACTGAATATGGCAATATAATTATACAAGTATAATATCAATATTAAAGCGTCATAAAATTTCAAACGTGACAAAATTATACATACATGTTAAACCTTACACTCACAGGTAAAATATTAAGTTAAACTTGATATTGTTGTGAAATTTGAAACTAGTCGTCCACAAGTTGTGCTTTATGGTGGCTAATAAGCGTGTTTTCGCTCCACGCCCCGCCGTTTTATTTCTTAAATCTCGCTCCGTGACCCCGCGGGGCGAAGTTTTATTTATTAAAATTCGCCCCGCGAACCCACTATTTAGCGTGGATTCGCCCCGCGCACCCGCCATTTTAACTTGTTAATTCTCGACTTTTCGCTTGGCGGGGTTGCAGGGCGAAAACACAATTGTCACATATCTGCCACCAAAGCTTTTAGATTTTCCTAATTTTTCGCAATAACCTTTAGTAAACAACACTGTATGACCTTAAATAATTATCATTTAATGGATTGTCTTGGAACAACAATACATCCATTGCTCTGAAAAATGTCTTTGATCCCGATTACATCTCAAAGTCGTGTGCTGGCAAAATTTAATGACATAGATTCTGTTTATTCATCTTGCAACTTTAGATTTGTCTAGAATGTCAGTGAGCCAAAGTTATTGAATGGAATTCAATATCATTGCATAGAACTCCTCTTTTGTCGTAGGATGCAATCATCAACATAAAATGATGCAAGGTTGTAACTTTTTACCGCCAGGTTTGATAGTTAAAAGTGTACACATAAAATTTCTTAAATGCATGCTATCAACCTTTCTTTTACACAATATTTTGATAAGTCATTCTATAAGAAGATATTTTCCGACTCTGCTTTTGCTAAACCTGTCAATGTCTCTGTGCCTTAATTTGAACTATTTGAACATTCAATCAAAGCTGAAAATGAAAAGACTCACTTGAACTGTCTGGAATGCTAAATCTATGCAAATAATATTCAGCTGCCTTCCGACCTTTAACAGGGCCACTCATTGAGGGACATATCAATATTCAATCAAAGTGGACAGACATTCACTCTATTCTGATTTTTTTTCAGCTTTGGGTGTAACAGTGTGCTCGGTTATTTTTTCCCATTTGATCTTGTTTAAAGATAAGGAAACCTTTAACAGCGCCGCGGTTGCAATTCTTAATTAATTAAAGAGTGTGCGCGTTTCTTCCTCACCGATTCCATCATTTATATACAAAGTATCACCGAAAACGTCTGAAGATAATTACTTTACAATTATTTTTATTGACTTTGCCCGGAAACATACTATCTTATTTGTTTGTCTATTACACTTTCTTTTTGTACTCCTTACATCTTTTGAAAAGAAAAAAAAATAAGTCTAATAAAAATACGTTTATTATGTTAGAATTAGCAACGGGTGACCTGTGTATTATTCTGCCTATCTTGTTCCAGCATTCTGTAAGATCAAATCACCGTCTAATATGCAGTAACCAACAAAACGGTTCATAATAAAAAAAAATCTCCTCGTCACTCTGGTGGGATTTCTACGGTGGCACAAATGTGACATGTGTCTGTGTTTTTATTAATCTCGTGCGCACGAGATATTATGTCGTGTCCACGAGTTAATAAGTCGTGGCCATTAGATTGTTAAGTCGTGGGAACGAGATACTATATCGTGGCCACGAATTACTAAGTCGTGGCCACGAGATAATCAAGTCGTGGCCACGAGATACTATGTCGTGGCCACGAGATAGTTAAGTCGTGGGAACGAGATATTATGTCGTGGCCACGAGTTACTAAGTTGTGGCCACGAGATAGTTAAGTCGTGGCCACGAGATACTATGCCGTGGCCACGAGATAGTTAAGTCGTGCCCACGAGATACTATCTCCAATATTGGTATATAATAATTATGTTTATATTGGACATGCATACAAGTCTCCTGGTAACAAGGCGTTATATTTAAGAAACATAAACGATTTTGATCATTTTTCGAAACAATTGAATCTGATATTTTGAAATATGACAATTTAGAACATATTCTCTTACATGTAACAGATAATTTACACTGTCGTACGGCAAACGAGCTTGATTTTATTCTTAAAATCAGCCTTTTAGTTTAGAAAATAATGTTATATCAAGGCGCATATGTAAAGATTCAATGTAAGTGGAGGTTTTCTTTTGAAAATGGCCCTAACCATAGATAACAATATACCTGTATCTCAAAACAATATTAACATAAGTTGATATCCAAAAGATCTTTTGTGATCATCGCAAAACTGATGCTATCTACCTCGAACAAAATGTATCACAATATGGAGGTTTTCTTTTGAAAATGACCTAAAATATACATAACCATATACATGCACATCAAACAGTTTAAACATTAATTTGTGTAAAAGGTAAAAGTATTTTTTGTGAACATCACAAAAATGATGCTACATTTCACATAAACAAAAACAGAGGTTTTCTTTTGAAAATGGGACGACAAGTTGAATGTAATAACACATTACGTTATATACATTTACCTAATTCAAGTAACATAACTTGATAGCAAAGTGTTGTAAGGTATCGTAACCCCGCTATTGCATGCCTAAATGTATCACATTATGTTTGTAGGAAATTTTTCTGACAAAGATGAAAAATGGGTTATGTTATTCGTACATTTATAATTGTTTTATAAATCTTTTATATCAGTTGAATTGAAAATACAAGTAAACTTCAATGTGACAATCAAACCATATCTTTAAAAAAGAAGTTCAGCATGCAGTCATAAACAACGAATTTATTTAATCTATTTTAAGACAATGTTTGAAACAGATATCCCATTTCTAGAGCTATTATTTTGTGATTTCCTTTCCTATTAGAGTATATGCAGAATGAGTGGCACAATGATTGTTATAGCTATTGATATAGGAACATCATACTGTGGTAGTTTCTATTCATTTACACACGAACCAACAGGTTTTATAGCTAGTAAAGATCTTCATAATGAAAAGGTCCCGACGGTAGTGCTATTTGACAAAAGCAAGGAATTTCATAGCTTTGGCTATGAAGCAGTTGATCATTACAAGCAGCTTTCAGAAGAAGAAAAACGATACTGGTACTACTTTAAAGATTTTCATAAGATATCAAACGAACACAAGTAATGATTTCAACTCATCACGATTATTTGTGGAGAGTGATGCAAAGAACAAAAACATTTATTTGTAACCTGTTAGATGTTAAATTATTATAAATTCTTAAGTAACATTTGACTTTTTATATTAAGTTCTATAGGGAATTAAGGAAGATAATAGATCCGAATAGATTTTACGCCATCACTTTATATTCTAGTGTCAATGGTGTCTCGTGGTACTTGCGTTTCAGTGATTATTCTCTTTGCCATGTTTGAGTTAATAAGGTATAAAAAAATAATGCAAAACATACTGGTTGGAGACCACCAATTCCGTATAACGAGCAAACCCGGACGGCCCCGAAAATGCCTGATTTATTTTTTTTTTTCGTTGTTCGGTGATTTTCGATTTATTTTTTGTTTTCGTTGTTCGGTGATTTTCAACTAACAATTGCTTTAAATCAACAATAAATGCATGTTACTTTTATAATACAGTAATTTAATTTATTTCAATTTCCGTAAACGGTAATATTATTATATAATGTCTATTTCAAGAAAACTGGCGTTGAAAATGGACGTTAAGAGTGCAATACCTGACTTTTAATACTAGTTATAATCATTTGTAGAGTAAAAATAGAATATCCAAAACTTCAGCATTTTCTGCTGAAATATTGTATATCATGTTAAAAAAATTAAAACACCAAAGCTTTTATTGAAATAAATAAACATTATAGACATATCTTTCCGGATACATGGTACTGTAGTGTGGACAATTAAGGTAAATTGATACCCTCCTTGACAGGTCTCAGATATTATTGTCAAGATAATCAGAAATAAACAAACTACAATGTTGTTTCTTTTGTTGTAGTTTGTAAATTAGAAGAAGAACCTAGCTGTACTGTGCCAAATTTTCAGATTCATGGCTTAACAATTATGAAATTTGTATGGAAAAATGTTCCAAAAGGGTCCGGTTGATGGTCCTTGACCAGAAGCTATTCAAAAGAATATTTTTCCACTCAGATAAGTTATAATGTATATTTTAATTTTGCTATAGATATATAATAACTATTCTTACAGCAAGAAGTTTTATATTTTAGCAGAAGCACTTAAAATGTGTAGTTGTATGTATTATCTAAGAAAAAAAAAACTCATGTAATTTTCATAAAATGTTTAATACAGCCCACAGAACTTGAAGTGACTGAATGCAGCGGTAAAAGACTGGAAACGTACAAAGTGTATGGGTCGATAATAAAATACTACACAGACAAAGTGATTACCAAACTACTAAGAGTTTTGTATGATTGGAGAATAACTGACATGCATGCCATGCTTACAGTTTCTCCAGTATTTTCGAGATCTAACAAGTCTATGTTACAGAAAGCCTTTTCATACGTAAGTTTTTTTCTCTGGGTAGGCGGTTTAATCAATATCAATTTCTGATAATATTGTATTTATTCTATCAAATTCCTACAGTTAAAATCTTTTACCAACATCGCGTTGTTTTGTAGAATTAAAAAGAATGTTTAATTTGTCCAATGGAATGATTGTCATGTGATAATATACGTATATCTTAGTACATGTATATTGTGATGGTATTTTCGGTATTTTCTTTCTTTCTTTCTTTCCTATTTTTTTTCTTTTAATTCTGAGAGCATATTCAAATTGTGACGACGTGTTTATATCGCCAACTTGCTGTTTTGTGGATACAAATATGACTCTTGATTTCTGTTTTGGAACAGGCTGGATTTAATAAAAACTATTCATTTGTAAACGAGCAAGAGGCTATTCTTTCTTATTGGAAGTACATGTGGAGTGGCAAGCAGAGTCTTCCAAATAATGTTGACCTGAATAATGAAAATGGCTTCCTCCTTGTAAATTTGAAAGGTTCTGTCCTTGAAAGAAATCATTTTATTATAAACACAAATTTTTATTAATTAACAATTCTATGGCATTTAAGTGTTGTTAGAAGATTGGTTCATGCAAATATAATTCTACACAATATTTCCTAACACTTTGTATTGAACAAAGGCTTGATTTCTCATAAATGAAATTAAACTGTCACATATTCTTTTTAACAACACTCGAATTTAGTTTAAAGTACTTATTTAAGGTTATTTAGGTAGAAAGTTTGATGCTTATTTGTTCCATTTTCGAGTCTGATTACGAGTATGGAAACGTCGCGGTGACCCAGTAAGGTTTGGACTCGAAACCCCTATGTTGATAGGCTGACATCTACGAGGCAAACATTTTCATGCATGTTTAAAATATTTCATTTCCGAATACCACCGCTTCTAAGAATGTTTTATCAATTCAAAAAAATAACACACTTGTTTATTAACAAATAAGTATTTGATACTTTGTAAGGGAAATTGAAAGCAATAATTAATTAAGACAATGATAAAGAAATGAATCTTATATGATAAACATTGATTATCTAAAGCAATGTCCGCCTACATTAAAGTTCCTATAAGTATTTTTACAGCATTTATCTGAAGAAAAACATTTAAACACTTTCAAGGGTCCACGGCATTGATATCAGCGAATTCGACAAAAGATGGGATTCTACACAGACTTGCATATGTCGCAGGTGGTGGTTGGGGTGGTCAAGCTGTACATGAAGAGCTAAAACAATTCATTATTAAAATTGTGGGTGCACCTGTGTTTCTCAGGTACATCGAGCAGGCAGGCGGCTTGTTTGATTTTGAAAGATATGTAGAATCGGCATTTAATTATTTTGATAAAAATAATGAAATGAACTTCAGGTTATCGTTAAATCATTTATGTCAGCAAGAGTACAATGAAGATTTTAAAACTGCCGTAAAAGAATCACCATTTTCACATGGAGTAAGTGTTAGATCTAACACCGGTATCATAAGTATAAAACGTGATGTCGTAAACAGTTTTTTAAGGACACGTTAGGGGCGATTGTGTCAAACATTAGGGACATCTTGTCTGACGAAAGTACAAAAGGTACAAAAGGAATTAAAGTAATTGTAATGGTAGGCTATTTTTCAAGAATAAAATTAGTCCAGGATACTGTAAAAAGTGCTTTTCTCGACTGCCAGGTTCTTGTTCCTTCTGATCCTGAATTAACACTAGTTAAAGGTGCAATTCTGACAGGACATTACGGTAAAATACCATTACCACATCCAAAGCATTGTTTTTCAACATACAATTTGTGCTGCAGTGCAACACATTAATGATGAACGTGAATTTCCAGAATATGTCAAAGAGAAAAGGAAGGTTTTGATTGAGAAAGGATCATATGTACAGGAAGGACACAAACAGGAATATAACTTTACAATGGATGACATGTGTGATATGGAGCACATTGATATCTTCATTTTTGCCTCCCCAAAAGCTGAAACTTGTGAATCTGCTTCTTTAAACAACGATGGTGAGAAGATCATAAGAAAAGAAAGAATGCATTTCAACGGCGCTCACACAATTAATATCAAAATCTCCTTAGTCTTTGTGCCGTGCGGGGTAGAATGGATTATATCGGATGAAGGCGGAATAGTAGCGATTGGCATTGGAAAGATTTAGATGAATAGGAGTAATTATGTGGGAAAAAAAGTGTTGATTTCAAAATAATATTATAATAATTTAAGTCTCTTTTTTCGTATGTTTACTTAAAGTATGGCATCAAACGTTTAGACCATATCTTTGCCTTTGGTCAAGAACCTACTGTAGCGAATCTCTATCTTAAATAACTGGTGATTTGTTTCAAATTGCAAGTAATGAATAACTAAAATTATTATTTCTCTGGTATTTCTTTTATATTTTGTACAGAATTATACATTTTGTTTAGATTATATATTTATACAGTGATACAGTGATTTATAGAACTGAAGAATAGAATATAGATGTTAATATATAAGTTAAAAAGTCTTTAAAAAGTATTGACAATCTGAATTTTTGATTATCATACACTAGATACTAAATACTAAAGTCAAATTATAATAATTATTATTTTATGTACATTTCAATTTTGCAAATTTGCAGAATGAAGATAATAGGCAATCACATAACTATATCTTGTAAAGCATTTACGTTGTGAAATTAAGTATATTGATATAATTACTCATTTTTAGATACTATGAATAATATTGTTTTAAAAGAAAATGTTTTTATATAACAGAATATTTTAAAAGCAAATTATTTTTGTTACATCTGTTGTATAAGAAAAGGATTTAAGTATTGTTAATTTTGATCTGGATAGATTTTGATTATATTCCACAAGACTTAAAGAAATCGTCGTCAATTTTATATAAACAAAATTGTTATTGTTGTTTTATATCAATGCATCTGAATATCTATATTTCTATGTATGTATGTATGTATGTAATACTCCTCACCTATTGAAGGAAATAAAGATGTTTAATATAATATGTAGCGTATTGCCAATGTAAATACTTTAATCTATCTTTTTAAAGTACATCTCTCTAGTTTGCAAATAGGATGAAAACATAATTAAGTATGAACGTAGCAAATATAATATAATTACAAGCAATTCAAAGTTATAATTAATGTTTTCCAATTATGGACTAAAATTACTTCAAACTACATTTAATAGGTAGAAGGATGATTATCAAGCCTCACCAGCACAGGACTACATTTATCGGTGAATTAAATATTGAGCGAAAGAAAGTCACCCTAAAAATATGAAGAAAAGAGTTTACTTTGTTATTTCCCTTTTTACACTATCACAGTTGTTAAAATTGTATTTCTATGTCAACAATTTAGATTTTATCAATCAACTTTAAAAAAAATTATCTAACAGGTAATAGAAAGAGCATCGAAACACGAGACTTTCTGATTTGTACGAGGGGCTTAGCTCCCTTAATTATATAAATCAGATTGTCGAGTATTTTGATGTTCTTTCACTTGTATCGTAGGCAAAAATTAAAACACGTTCCATGTTGTTAAAATTTGAAACCCCATAAAAGGTAACTATTAAATTAACATTTGAATATGATATTTCTATAGCTATCCCTTTCTCTGTCGTCACAATAAGTAAACCCCAGAAAAAATGAGTCAATCAATGGGCATGCTCTGGTAACTAATACCTGTCCTCCAGTAAATGTCCTGTGCATGTACGGGTATATGTATACGATTTAACTCTGACTTTGATATTCAGCAAAATGATGACAAGACTATGATACAAATACAAATTAAAGCAGTATTGCAAGTTGTACGAAAGATCGACAATAACATCAGATTTATTTGATTTTTCAAGTGATAGCTTCTTCATTTCACAATTGGTTATATTTCCTACTTATGACTCGAACCGGTCAGTCTTAAAATGATACTTAGCTTTGGAAAGTTCTCTTACTAAAACAATTCAAAAAGTATGAAACTGAACAAAAGAATAACTTATTTTTGGGTAACTTTATCATTTAATGAATTCCATGACGAAATAGATATTTAAATCAGTTGCTATAAAGTAGCGCAGTTCAACAACAAACTGAAAATGCCCTTTTGTCAAAAAGGTAAGGTGATTTTAATACTCAATTCCTTACGGTGCAATCCTTTTCTCATAAGAGAGTTATAATGGCCCTAGATCGCTCACTTGAGATCCATTTTAAGAAAGATCTTCCACATAAAAAGGAATCTGTTATGTTAAGGCCATGCAAAACTGTGTTTTTTTTTCATAAAAGTCAATACCAACTATATAGCGTTCAGAATGGGGTCAATTTGACCATATTTCCTAGTAAATAATGTTTTTGTAGAGGACCACGAGGTGATGCTTTGACCTCAGAAGTTTAGTTCATTTACCTTTTAAAGAGGCCTAGATAATATCCGAATTCTGGCATTTGTTTTGTTGATTTACACAAGATGAAAATACAGCATTTTACTATTATACAGGTCTATATAAACTTAGTAACAAGGAGGTAGGAAATTTTGATCATATTGGAAAAATATCGATTAATATTTGTAGAACACAACACAATGGTTCATGTAAAATATGCTCCAGACAATGTGAAATAGAAAATAAGATTTTATATACCAACATTTATATGTAAACTTAATAAACCTATGCGAAAGTCCATTTTTAACCCCCGGGGCATGATTTATATAACTTCTAAAGAGGTCATCAAGGCAAGGATTCATACCAAATATCTAAACACCGAGTCTTAAAGCTTCCATAAAAAGATTGAACTGAATTTCAAATATAAGTATATATAAACTTAGGTTTTATTTCTAATATTATTTAGCTTTTATTACCTACTTTTGCGTCAGTCAGAAACAATAAATATTGTTGTTGTTAATGGGTTTTGTGTCACACTGACACTGTTATTGTCATAAAGCAGTTTTCCAGCTAAAATTTCTCCACCATTTCTATGCCAAAAATGTCTAATCAGTCCTTATTATCTTCAATTTATTGATGTTCAAAATCATAGCAAAACCAAGATCCAGCATGTAACTCAGGTGCATTCCCTTGATGTCATTTTTCAAAATATAAAAAAAATGTTCACTTTGAACTATATTGATAAAGCTTCATATGATACTTTCAAAAAAATAAATCTGACTTACAGTTTTTTCTACAAGAAGTGTCAGGAAACAATTAATTCATTTCGCCACCCATCATATGAAATGAGCTGAAATGATTTACTTAAGAAGAAAGAGTGACACCCTAGAAAGATTCTTAACATGGTATAATGACTCAGTGAGTAGTGCTTTGTTTTTTCCTATGCCAGTTATTACTTGCAATCCTTTCTATGAAGAGTATAATAACTAAGTAATTAAGAACACAATAGTCCATAATAATTTTATCATAAATATTATAGTAACATGTAGGGCAATCACTATAGGTAATTAATACCCCAACAGCAACTTTGACATTTTAAAAAATAAGTGGTCTGAAGAAACAATTGAACTCAACCTAATGTAAATGAAGTATCAACTGTGCATAATGAATCATTTCAATTAATTGCAATATCAACCGAAGTCTTCGTATGAGCGTGGATTGTGTCAGCTGCACTGTGTTCCCTGTTACTATCACCGTCGGTTTTACTGCGATCAGGAAACCCTAAAAGGCATATCACCGTGGGTTGTGTCAGCTTCACTATATTCCTTGAGGCTAAAACCGATGGTTTTCTGCGATCCGGATCACCTAAAAGGCATATCACTGTGGGTTGTGTCAGATATTCACTGTGTTCCCTGAGGCTATCACCGATGGTTTTACTGCGATCAAGACCCCCTGAGAGGCCTACCACCGTGGGTTTTATCAGCTTCACTGTGTTCTCTGAGGCTATAATCTTGGGTTTTACTGCGATCATGGCCCCCTAAAAGGCCTTTCACTCTAGGTATGGTCAGCTTGGTTATGTTTGTGTTCCCTTTTGCTGAAACCGGGCTTTGTTTTCCGTTAAGAACTACTAGAAAGGCCTATCGGCGTGGGCTTTATCAGCTTCACTGTAATCCCTGCGGCTAGAACCGGGCTTGGTTTCGAGTTAAAACTACAAGAAAGGTCTATCACCACCGTTGGTTTGGTCAGCTTGGCTGTATTCTGACTGTATTCCCTGAGGCTTAAACTGGGCTTGGTTTTCTGTTAAGAACTGCTAGAAAGGCCTATCCTCGTGGGTTTTGTCAGCTTGACTTTATTGCTTGAAGCTGGAACCGTGCTTGGTGTTCTGTTAAGAACTACCAGAAAAGCATATAACCGCGTTTGGTCGCCATTCAATTTGGGTTTTGTCAGCTTTACTGTTTAACATGAGAATACAACCGGGTTTTTTGTTAAGAACTACAAGAAAAGCCATGTGTTAAGTCAGTTTGACTACCTTTAGTGAGGCTAGAAACGGGCTTACGTTTCCATTCAGTGTTACTACAAAGGGCTATCACCATGGGTTTGGTCAGCTTCACTGCATTTTTTTAGGCTAAAACTGGTTTTGGATTTTCGTTTAGAACGACGAGAAATGTCCATGACCGTGAGTTTGATCAGCTTGACTGTATTCCCTTGTAAAACGGATGGACGAAAGCGGCATACAACATGTGTTTTTGTTTAGGTTTTTTAGGTTTTACGTCGTCACACCGACAAAATATAGGTCATACGGCGGCGTTTGAGCTTTACTGGTGGAAAAAGACCTCAGGTGCCCTTCCGTGCATTATTTCAGACACGAACGGGCACCTGAGTAGAACCACCGACGTTCCGTAAGCTTTCAGGATAGCTTCTTTACATGAAATAATCCAATGTCCTTATCGGAATTCGAACCTTCACCGATGATGGTCAAGTGGTTTGAAGTCAAACCACTCGGCCACGGACATATTGTAAATAACGACTATGTTAAAAAAATGTTTTTACAATATGTCGAAAAAAACAGATGTCTGGAAAGATGGCATCAAAATAAAGTAGTTTAAACACATATACATACAGTATATCTTGATCAATAATAGTCTGCACAAAAACACATTTCAAATGAAACATCAGTGGGTAAAGGGAATTAACTATGAAGACTTCACCTAGATTCACTAATGAATATTTTCCCTTTGATAACAATCTAATCAAAAAATATAATCACGTTTTATCGCAACAGCTTTGGATTTTTGAAGTTTTCACCATAATATGTATGTTTAAAAGCTGATTTCTGCTTAAACCGGTGCTAGGGGGACATTGACAGTAACCTGTACAGACCATAACTCTTCAAGAATAGGATTGTTTTGAAAGAGCCTAAAAGTTTTCCATTTTGATGTTTTCGGGCATTCTTTTAGGATTTTTTTTTTCAAGTAAGCTATGATTATTTTTAAAATGCCAAGTGAGTGAATAGTGTTTCTTAAGAAAACCCCCAAAGTCCGTTTTAAATAAATAATTCGTTCATTCAATAAATGTTTTTGTAATGGGGTATACGGTGCGCATAGAACTCCTAAATAGCTACAGTCCTGAATCGAATCTTAATATTCTTTTCAGATATTTCTTTTAATTATTTGAGGTTTTAGATGCGCATCCGTCAATTATATGTATACAGGTCTTTTAGGGTTTTCCATTCCTAAATATCTTATTTTTCTACTTTCTAATTTTCATGAAGTCTTATTTTTATTATAACACCGTTTCTGCAAAACCACATGAAAGTAAGTAGGCTTCTCGTGTAAGTATATGCACATAAAAGATAAAAAGTCAACAGATTTGGGAAAACCAGTAGTTGTCACAGATACAATGCCTTTCTGCATTACACCTTATAAGCTTTCAGCAGGGAAAACACTAAACTCCGCTGATACTGGTCGTTCAATGTCTGTCAAGAAATTACAAGCACGTTTTCATTTCAATTGCATGTAGACGGCACCTTAAATCAAATGATAGAATGAAATGTCGACTCACTTTGGCATCTGTTCTCCCGTACATCGAAAACAAAAGTATTGATGTAAAGTATTGTTTCTAAAAACGGAAGCCACAGTAATCGTGGGAGTATTCATGTGGGAATGCTGTCAGTAGAATAATAAATTTGGTGATATGCTATGAAATTGAGATTAAACCTTTGCATGCCGGGACAATTGTCGTCTGCTAAAATGTCATCTTTTTTATTTTAGGTTATATACTCAGGCAATTTAATGACAAAAATATTAAAATAATTATATGAGCTTAAATCACGCTAAAGTGACTTTTGTCAAAGTCCCGGCATGAATTCAGCACAGATACTTTGATATCTATCTTATGTAGGAGTTATAAAGTCCTACGTAGGAGTTTAAAAGTACTACGTTTGAGTTATAAATCCTACGTAGGACTTATATAGTCTTACGTATGAGTTATATTAAAGTCCTATGTAGGACTTATAAAGTCCTACGTAGGAGTTACAAAGTCCTACGTAGGAGTTACAAAGTCCTACGTAGGACTAATATAGACCACCTTTAGTGAGTGAAATTTAAAAAAGAAACATATCTACTTTGGGTGAAGTCAAAACATGTTTATTTTACATTTGTAAAAAGGCTGTGTAGCAAATATCAATGGTTTCTAATATCAAATTTGAGCATAGTATTTCTTAAAAGGAACTTGACAATATAATATTTAAAATAGTTCAAATCGCGGAAATACTTGTACCTTGACAAGATTATAATACTATAACAATCACAAAAGAAAGATAAATCATTGTGGATTAAGATTGATCTAAAGGTTCATTATTAAATGTCTAATTGAAAACTATTGAATAATATCATATTTCAGGTACGTTGCACGGTTAAATTCAGACTAAGGTGATACAATCTTTACAAAGTTGACGTCTTTGTTTTTGTCGATTACAGAAATAATGCTTTTGGATGAGATCCACAATTTCTTTATTGCCCATTGATGTTAAGTCAGTGTTATTTCATCGGATCTTGTACGTTTAAAAGGTAAGTCAATTTAATAGATTTTGTACGAATTTTAGGCTTTTTATTATTATTATTATTATATTACTTTTCTGTTTAAAATATTTAATTGTAATCTTTCTTAACGAACATCTTTCTTAACGAGACCTTGTTACACATAACATAAATGGTGTTGACTCTAGAACAGCAATGTATTTATAGCAACGACGTTATGCTAATACGTGCGATACGCGTAAAATGGCATCGAAGGAATGGTTAGCTATGTACTGTATATCTTAAGAAGCGCATTTAGATCTGCGCAGTTGTGAAAATTAGAATTAATTACACGAATGAATTGCGTTCTTAGGATGACGTCATTTTACATCGGCTGTCTTATAGTCTGGCCCGAGGGTAACTGTTTACAGCGGTAACGATGCTCTGCAGGGAGCTAGATATTCCAGACTGTTATGGTAGCCGATATATGATCCCTTTCTTGCATATCACATAGAAAGCATATTTCGGAAATAAATTACGAAAACTAATATTTTCATTTATTATATACTTATAAATGAAATATTGAGAAATATTGATGAAATAAAATGCGTATTTTCATTTTCCGTATTTCACTGTAAAATTATTCTTTCATTGCAGTGAAACATATTTTCCATATTTTCACTGGTGTCTTGCCGGACTACTTTCTTTTAAATTCTGCCAGTACACAAAATTTAAGAGAAGTCTTTCAAATTTTAATGTAAAAAAAGAGAAAAATGTATATAATAAACAGAAAATTCAAGTTTATTCTATAAATACATGATTTATTTAAATCATCTTGTGGCATGAAACTTACCATATTTCACTCGTGGCTACCGCCACTCATAAAAAATATTTATTTTCATACCACTCGATGAAAATAAATCATGTATTTATAGAAAAAGCTAGAATATCCTCTATTTAGCAGTTTTTCTTATAGTAGCGTATGAATTTACAACTTTATTCACAAAACGACGGCAAAATGATGCATTCATATATGACGTCATTTAAAGCACTCGATTTGTCTTACACATTGTAAGACTAAAAGAATCTTACAATGGCTGCCTAAACAGACGGGAATATCTAGCTCAGTGGTAACTTTTTAGGGCGGTAACGAGGTTCTATAAATATTCTGCATTTCGCTTGAAAATATAAAATGAAATAAAATAAACACACACAATTTTTATCAACGTTTACACAATTCATTATTCTATAATGCTCATGCAAACGGTAGACTTAACGCATGTGAACACAAAACGTGCATTATTCTACAACAATTACTTCCTAAATCTAGCATTTTTACCCAAGAAATACCTATATCAGTATTATAATTAACTTATTTTTTTGCTTTCAGAAATGGATTTAAACGATACAAAAATAATGTTTAAAAAGTGAATGAAAGATAATTTGATCCTATTGGGGTTTAAACCCACGCCCCTCATTTAAATGCGATTGACAGTATTGGTAGCCTATTTACTACTATTTACTACCATTCAAGGCGGGGGTAACGAATTAGGATTTTTTTTTTATTTATTTAACATCAACTGTTGTAGTAATTTGTCTAATATTTTAAATTGGGACTATATAGCTATATGTTAATACATGTATATTGATCTATGTTTATATGTGATACGTGTATGGAAGAGGAACGTAAGTTTAATTTCTTATTTTTGAATACACTTGTTCTGTTCTGTCATAACTTAAAGGCGCATTATGCCCAATAAATGCTTTTATTTTTATTTCTCAAAAGCTTTTTATTTATTATTATTATTATTATTATTATTATTATTATTATTATTTTAACAACTAGTACAGTTATACTGGTTTATTACATGCTTTACGGTGGTTTATAGAAATATATCAATGATATAAAACTGGTAATTTCACTGTTTGAAACAGTGAAATTACCACTTTGATAATTTCATTGTTTTGAATTTAAGCCCCTTACGCTGTTTCAGTGAAATACCAGCCTGCAGGGTACTGGGTACCAGCTTAATGACGTGACATCGTAAATGACGTCACGTTGTATTATTATTTAGCGCTTTTCATTCAGTATTAGTTTTAATGTGTTTTAAAAACTTTCTTTGCATGAAATAAAATTAAATTTGTTTAGTTTAGTGTAAGATCGAAATATATTTCACATTGTGAACACCAAATGTTCATATTTCACTCGTGAAATATACCTTTTGGTGCTCACTCGGTGAAACATATTCCGATCTTACACTGAACTAAACAAATATCCTCTATTTAATATTTTGTATGGAAGTCAAAATACAACTTTGTTTACATTTCTACTTTAAAGTCTTTTATAACTAATACTTTCACATGCAACTCTTCTTTCATCCAGGTGATAATGATCAGGTGATAAGCCATTTACACGCTCTTAAACCATTATCTAAACGCTATAATACGTGTTTTGCGCTTTATAAAGATGGAAACGGAAGCTTCAAAGGGTCATCTTGTCATAAAAGATTGCGTAAGAGGTGACCCTTTGAAACTTCCGTAGATGGAAAATTTATGAATAAAAAACTTCCGCATTATTTTTTTTTAATTGGATTAAGATTTAGTGTTCATAACTTAATCGAGAACCATAACCGAGAAGTAGTTATTGTTTGTCTCTGATTAAGACTGACTTTCTATAAGACCAAGAAATAATTATAATCAAAGAGAGTACTGTTTTGTAAAAGAGTTGTTACATGAATTGTTTCGATTTAATATTATCTAGAACTCTTTAACTGTCATTGAAATGTTCTGAATCAATAATGTATTTGGTTTTAGGGACAGCTTTTTAAATGACTGTATTTTCATGATTGAATTTAATCATGTACATTTCAATTCCTTTTGAAAAAAAAGCAAAATGACTCAAAACAAATGAAGAACGCACTAACTAAAATTTATCTTAATCGTACATTTATAAACATATATTAAAGGGACGGCACTGATATTTTTTTCTTGACTGAACTAGATTTTTTACTTATTCATGTCGGACTAAGATCGAATAGCACAAAAATACGTTTTTCAATTTATTCGGAGTATATTTTTTAATTATCTTTTGCAAATCTTTCTGTTATAAGTGTCCCAGCTGATCTATATAAAAAATTCAAATGTTATGTTTTAATGCTTTTGGACTTCTGTTGTGAAGTTTACTTAAAAGTCAGTTAAATAGATTTAAAGTGATTTCAATGTTACAATCAAATCATATCTTTAAAACAATTATCAGCATGCATTCGTAAAAAAACAATGTTTGTATCCAATTCTGATGTTTGAAACAGATTTTATTTCTATTAGTTTGTATTTCCTTTCTTTTAGAGTATATGCAGAATGAGTGACACATTGATGGTTATAGCTATTGATATAGGAACATCATACAGTTGTGGTTTCTACTCATTCAGAAACGATCCAAAGGAGATTAACGCTGTAGAATATTTCTATGACAAAGTTCCTACGGTAGTGCTTTTTGACAAAAGAAAGGAATTTCATAGCTTTGGCTATAAAGCAGTGGACAATTACAAACAGCTTTCAGACGAAGAAAAAAGATATTGGTACTACTTTAAAGATTTTCACAAGATATCAAATGAGCATAAGGTATGATTTCAACTCATCAAGATTATTTTGGGGGAGAGTTGGGACAAAGAATAAAAGCATTTACATGATAAATTATTATTATAAGTACTTGAGTAACATTTGACTTTTTACATTAAATATTATAAGGAAATGAGGAAGATTTATAGATCTGAATAGATTTTACCCCGTCAGTATATGTTTTTAGTGTCCGTGTCCATGGTGTCCCGTGATACTTGCATTTCAGTGATTATTCTCTATGCAAGGTTTGAGTTTTATAAGATACAAAAAGAAAAAAACAAAGCATAGCTATTAAAAAAATCAGCTCTTATTAGTAATAATTTATCTCTTCATTTTGCTAAATATAATAAGTATTCAACAGAAAGAAGTTTTATATTTTAACTGAAGCACTTTAAATATATAGTGGTGTGTATAGAACAAATTCCTCATGTTATTTTCATAAAATGTATAATACACTCAGCCAACAGAACTAGAAGTGACCGAATGCAGCGGTAAAAGACTGGAAACGTACAAAGTGTATGGGTCCATAATAAAATACTTTACAGACACAATGTTAACCAAGTTGCGAAGAGTTATAAATTGTGATATTGGAATAACTCGCATACGCATACATGTCGTGCTTATAGTTCCTCCCGTATTTTCGAGATCCAACAAGTCTATGTTACAGAAAGCCTTTTCATACGAAAGTTCTTTTCTCTGGGTAGGCAGTTTAATCAATATCAATTTCAGATAATATTGTATTCATTCTATCAAATTCCTATATTAAAATCTTTAACCAAAATCGCATTGATTTGTAGAATTTAAAAAAAAAATGTTTAACCTGCAAACAATTTGTCCAATGAAATAATTGTCTATGTAGTACATGTATATTGTAATGTTTTTTCGGTATTTTCTTTCTTTCTTTTCTATTTTTTCCTTTTATTCTGAGAGCATCTCCTATTTGCTGTTTTGTGGATACAAATATGACTCTTGATTTATGTTTTGGAACAGGCTGGATTTATTAAAAACTATTCATTTTTAAACGAGCAAGAGGCTATTCTTTCTTATTGGAAGCACATGTGGAGTGACGAGGAGATTCTTCCAAAGAATGTTGACCTGAATAATGAAAATGGCTTCCTCCTTGTAAATTTGAAAGGTACTGTCCATGAAAGAAATTATTCTATTATAAACTCAATTTTTTATTAATTAACAATTTTATGACCTTTAAGTGTTGTTAGAAGATTGGTACATGCAAATACAATATTTCCTAATACTAAGTATTGAACGAAGGCTTGATTTCTCATAAATAAAATTAAATTGTCACATATTCTTTTTTACAACGCTCGGATTTAGTTTAAAGTACTTATTTAAGGTTATTTACATAGAAAGTTTGACGCTGATTCGTTCCATTTTCGAGTCTGATTACCAGTAGTGGGTGTTACATATGGAAACGTCGCGGTGACCCCAGTAAGGTTTGGACTCGAACCCCTATGTTGATAGGCTGACATCTACGAGGCAAACATGTTCATACATGTTTGAAATATTTCATTTCCGAATATCAGAAAATGTTTTATCAATTAAAAAAATAACACTGTTGATTAATTAAACAAATATTTATAACAGATAACTATTTGATAATTTGTATGGAAAATTGAAAGCAATAATTAATGAAGACAATAATAAAGAAATTTATCTTATATAATAAATCATTGATTATCTTAAGCCATTTCCGCCTACATTAAAGTTCCCATAAGTATTTTACAGCGTATATCTGAAGAAAAACATTTAAACACTTTCAGGGTCCTCGGCATTGATATCAGCGAATTCGACAAAAGATGGGATTCAACGCAGACTTGCATATGTTGCAGGTGGTGGTTGGGGTGGTCAAGCTGTGCATGAAGAGCTAAAACAGTTCATTATTAAAATCGTGGGTGCACCTGTGTTTCTCAAGTACATCGAGAGTGAAGGCGACTTGTTTGATTTTGAAAGATATGTAGAATCGGCATTTAAGCGTTTTGATGAAAATAATAAAATGAACTTCAGATTATCGTTAAATGATTTATGTGAGCAAGAGTACAATGAAGATTTTAAAACTGTCATAAAAGAATCACCATTTTCACATGGAGTGAGGGTTATATCTAACACCGGTATCATAAAAATAGAACCCAAGATCTTGAATGGTTTCTTCAAGAAAACATTAGAAGCGATTGTGTCAAACATTAAGGACATCTTATCTGACAAAAGTACCAAGGAAATCAAAGAAATTGTAATGGTGGGCTATTTTTCAAGAATAAAATTAGTCCAGGATACAGTAAAACGTGCTTTCCCCTCATATCAGGTTCTTGTTCCTTCTGATCCTGAATTCACACTAGTTAAAGGTGCAACTCTAACAGGGCATTACGGTAAAATACCATCACCACATCCAAAGGTGAGAAGCATCGTTTCTCAATATACAATAAGTGCTGTTGTGCAACACATTAATGATGAACGTGAATGTCCAGAACATGTAAAAGAGAAAAAGAAGGTTTTGATTGTGAAAGGATCACATGTACAGGAAGGTGACAAACAGGAATATAACTTTACAATGGATGACATATGTGATATGGAACACATTGATATTTGCATTTTTGCCTCTCCTAAAGCAGAAACATATGAATCTGCATCTTTACACAACGATGGTGTTAAGATCATTAGAAAAGAAAGAATGAATTTCAACGGCGCTCACACAATGAACGTCAACATCTCTTTAGTGTTTGTGCCATTTGGGTTAAAATGGATTATATCGGACGAATGCAGAAAAGTGGCGAATGGCATTGAAAATTTAGATGAATAGGAGTGGGAAAAAATAGTTACGATTTCAAAATTATTATAATAATTAATGTCTGTTTTTTTGTGTGTGTGTTTACTTAAAGTATGGTATATAAAGTTTAGACCATATCTTTGCCTGGTCAAGTACGAGTTGGAGCGAATCTCTATCTTGAAAAATGGTGATTTGTGTCAAAGTGCAAGTAATGAATAGCTAAAAATATTATTTCTCTGGTATTTTCTTTATATTTTGTACATAATTATGCATTTAGCTTAGATTATATATTTATACAGTGATACGGTTGTTTATAGAACTGTACAATAGAATATAGATGTTAATAAGTTAAAAAATCTTTAAAAGTTATTGACAACCTGAACTTTTGATTATCATGCACTTGATATTAAATACTAAAGTTAATTTTTTATTATTATTATTATCATCATTTTATGTACATTTCAATTTTGCAAATTTGCAGAATGAAGATAATAGGCAATCACATTACTGTACATGTATCTTGTATAGCAATTAAGTATATTGATATACTCATTTTTAGATACTATGATTAATATTGTTTTAAAAGAAAACGTTTATATATAACAGAATATTATAAAAGCAAATTATTTTTGTTACATCTGTTGTATAAGAAAAAGATGTTAGTATTGTTAATTTTGATCTGGATAGATTATGATTATATTCCACTAGACTTAAAGAAATAGTCGCTCTTCTATTACAAGGTCAATCTTATCTAAACAAAATAGTAATTGTTGTTCTATATCAATGCATATGAATATCTATATTTCTATGTATGTATATATGTAATATTCTTCACCTATTGAAGGAAATAAAGATGTTTATTATAATATGTAGTTTATTGCCAATGTAAATACTTTAATCTATCTTTTAAAAGTGCATCTCTCAAGTCTGCAAATAGAATCAGTGGCGTATCGACCAATACGCCATTAGGCACGGGCGTATTATATACGTAAGAAAAAGTTTCAAAAATAAAATTTCAAAAATGAAATCATTAATTTGGGCGTAGATCGATCAACATCTAATTGATTCTACAGGTATGCTTAGGATGTTACCTTATTCGAATATGCGTTACCTTTTTATGAAAAATCAAAAATTCAATTAAGAAAGAGAGTAAAAATATGATATAAACAAGTTCTTTGGAATTTTCTCTTTTTTCAGCTTGAGTTAAGCGTTATAATGCTAATAAACCTCGTCAAAATCCAAATAAGGATAAGAAATTGTCCAATATATTACAATCATTTTTTCCCCAGTAGAATCAAATCAGTGAACATTTATTTCATTTTTTACATCTAGATCTATATGCAAAATAAAGATCTTGTTTGCAACTTGGCGTTTTTAGCACAATGGAAGGGAGTTAGCTCTATGGAATGTCTTTTTATATTTTACCTTGTAACGATAAATTAGTATATCATTTTTAAGTAAGTAATATATGTATTATATGAATTATACAATTATTGACTATATATGTTTATACCAACATGCTTTAAGTGCGTGAGGCATTTAACTTCGTAATGAAATAACTTAAATATTTCAAATGGAAATTGAAAGGCTAGAGTTGAGAACAAAAATGTTAAACACAATATTTATTGTCTACAACATTGACATAATACGCATTACAAATATTTTAAGGAAGCTAAATGATCGTGCAATACTACATTTTAGCTGCAAATACGATAAAATCTCGTTACACTAAACATTTAAGCTGTTCTGTTTGTATTAAAGTCATACAGATCATTTTAAAACATATTTTCCTTGATTATATCTCATGTTATAAGATAAAACTAAACTTGTTACAAAAGGATATAAAACCCATCTGTTTACAAGAGAGATACCTGGCTATGTTTTGTTTTTCTAAAAGCAAATAATTTTTTAACTATTTAAAACAGTGTACATCTTAGACTTCGTGCTTTTTCTCTTACATTCAATATATGTACTTGATGTTATTTTTATAACTATAGATAAAGACAATAGTTAAGTACAATTAGCTTAAATATCCCCTAAATCCTTAGCTATAGCACATAGCTATATTTGATAAATAAGTCTCTGGCGATCCTTCGGCCAAAAAACCGGCACTCGGCGTACACTTATAATAGGCAGAAGTACGCCCCTGAGAATGAAAATATGATTCAGTATGAACGTAACAAATTATATATAAATACAAGCAATTTATAGGTATAATTATTGTTCTACAATTATAGTCCATGAATTTATTTAAAATTGCCTCAAATTACATTTAACAGGTAGAGGGACGATTATAAAGATTCACCAGCGCAAGGACTACATTTATCGGTGAATTAAATATTGAGCGAAGGGAAGCCACCCTAAAAATACGGAGGAAAGAGTTTACTTTTGTTATTTCCCTTCTGACACTATCATAATTATCAAGAGTGTACTTCTATGCCAATAATTTAGATTTTATCAATCAACTTGTTATCTAACAGGCAAAAGAAAGAGCATCGAAAACACGAGGCTATCTGATTTGAATTTGGAGGGGGGAGGGGCAGGTAGCCCTGAGTATAAAATCAGATTGC